AAAAAAAATGATGTTTGGTAATTATATGAGATGTATTTGTTGTTTATAGTTAATGATGATATTTTGGTGCACGGTGTGGGGTGGGAATTGGGTAGCTCTATGTTCATATATGATGTTATCTATCTCTCACCGTCCTGTTTTTATGTGGTTTTCTTTTAGGTGAAGATGAAGGCACTCATAGTGTTGAGTTCTAAAGGGAAAGGGTTCTGCTCTGATAGGATGTGACATTGGGGCATGAATTTAGGATGCTTTAGTTATGAATTGTTATTTGTCGTTTGAGGAGACTTATTTTTAGGAGTTTTATATTCACCTTATATTTGTAAATTCTGGATCCCTTTCATTTTTCTTTAGAGACCTTGATAATTTTCTTTTAAGAGTAAAACTTTATTATTATTATTATTATTATTATTTCTATTTATTTCAAGACTTGTGAACCTATGAGTTTTTATTAAAATATGTGGACCCTTCTTGATGTTATATTTATTGAATTATTCTTATTGTTGTTACTTATCTATTATGGGGTAGAAGGGTGTCACAATCTCTCTCTCTCTTTCTCTCTCTCTCTCTCTCTCTCTCTCTATATATATATATATATATATATAACACATACATACATATACATATATATATCATCTGTAAGATGAAGGAAATCAGACGAAGCATACAATCTGTCTTAGGACAATAAATCAAATACTTCTAAAATGTGTCTAACATTAAAATTCATTTAATGTGTTATTCCTTAATAGATCAAACAAGAAAGAAGCTTTAGAAGTCTCGAAGTTTATTAAAGAAGAAAAAGACAAAATATCAGTATGAAGCAAAAGGCAAAATCTTGAAAATCACGAAAAAGGTGCTACAAAAGCCTGCTCTGTGCCAACTTCAACTGCTCAATATTAACACTATTTCTGCTATACTCATTTTAGAAGGAAATGTTGATAAGTAGTCTACAAGATCAGATAAGAGATACACACGTTACTGAAAGACATTTAATGCGTGCATTAATAAATGTATCAATGATAATATCTAGGATCAACAAAGAAGACCAACGAAACAATTTAAGAGGAAAGTTGAAAAGTTCAATTCAAAGTTGTTGTAATGGTCATCTTCTCCAAAGCTACTATAAAATGATCAAGCCTTCAAACAACAAAGAAGATATGAGATAGACAGAGAAGTGTTGTGAATAAAAAGAGAAAAACATTTACTGAGAAGTGCATATTGAGAAACACACTAAGTCACACAAAGCTAAGGTACTATAAAGAAGCGTTTCATTAAAAATCATGTACACATTTCTTTGTAAACTATTTGTGCATAAGTTTCAAAGAATCACATATAGAAATGACAAAGCTATCCTTGTAACTTTTTTCAAACTTATTTGTATGGGTTTAGCCTGGAGAGGCTTATTCAAAATAATACTTGGTGTTTGAGCCTAGAGAGATTTTCTAAAAGAATACTTAATGTTTGAGCCTGGAAAGGCTTGATTGATAAGAATACTTAGTATTTGAGCATGGAGAGACTTGTTTAAAGAATACTTGGGTAGTTGCTTCAAGAGGCAAGTCAAAGATTACTTAGCTTGAGTCAGAAGTGACATATTGAAAGAATACTTGTATCTTGAAAAAGATAGTGGTACTCAATCTTGTTGGATTGAGTACTAGATTTAGTCTCTGTGTTTGAGATGAACTAGTATAAAAGATATTTGCTCGTTTGTCTGTTACTTTCTAGTACTCCATTTGATAAAGCGTCAACTATTTCATTGCATTTCAAAAACATGAGTTTTTAATATACATTATTCAATCCCCCTTATAATGTGCATCTTTTTCTCCAACATATATTATACAAGTTTAATGTAATTTTATATTTTTATATTACAGATAGATCAAATGAACCAACCCAATGCAAACCAAATATAATTGGATTCAATTGGTTTGAATAGGAGACTAAAAAACAAATAAACCAATTCAATCTAATCCAATTAAAGTTGATCAGGTTGATTCAAAATAAGTTTCAAATTCAATATGTGTCTACATGTACTTTTTTCATACATGTTAATGAATCTTGCACATAATTTTTTTATTTAATAAATTTTAATTAATAATTAAGACAATTTGAAAATAAAAGTAATAACAAATATGTTGTCAACATCTTCAAAAAAAAAAAATTAAAATTCATCAACCATAGTGGAGTATGCCTTTATTAAATGTTGAAACTGTCATCAAAATTTTGAACAAATATACTATTTTAACAAATTGTATTTATACTTCTTTTAATGCTAAAATACAAAATATTGAGTTCAAATTAATATAAAAAAATTGTAAATCACCATAACCAAATGATCTGAGCTAAATTAACTCAAAATATTTCTTAATTGATTTTAGCCCACAATGTTCATATGAAACAATATTCTAATTTTTAGAGGCTAAACTTATTTTTCGATTATAGGTTACACAATTGTAGGATTAAAAGCTAGAACACCTAAAAAGGGTCATTTTCAACCAGAAAAACATTCTATTTATGCAACTATAACTTTCAAACCAAACACTTTGAACCTCTTGTTTAATTTTAGCTTCCTAACAAATGATTATTGAATCAAATTAACTCCTCTAAAATAAGATAAATTAGTCTATAAATTAGGAATGTCTTTCATTCTATATTTCATATAAATTGCAACACAATAACCTATTAACCTAAGAAATAAATTCAAAAGGGAAAAAGTAGAAATATGACCTCGAAAATCTCTACAATTCAAGTGACTCTCCTATTAGCCTACCTAACAACCCAAGTTGTTTTATCTGATGACAATGTGCCAATACCAGCTAACAAGGCAGAATTGGACTCATGGTTTAAAACTAATGTGGGGCCTTTAGATCAAAGAAAGACAACCTTGGACCCAAAATTGGTGGCCGCTGAAGAAGGTGCTAAGGTTGTCAAGGTAATGAAAGATGGTAGTGGAGAATTTAAAACCATCACTGATGCCATTAAGAGTGTGCCTGATGGGAACACCAAGCGTGTAATTTTTTACATTGGAGCTGGAAATTATAATGAAAAAATCAAAATTGAGAAAACAAAGCCTTTCATAACCTTGTATGGGTCACCACAGAATATGCCAAACATAACCTTTGCAGGAACGGCTAAAACATATGGAACTGTTGATAGCGCTACATTAATTGTTGAATCAGATTACTTTGTGGCAGCTAACATCATTATCTCGGTTTGTATACTATATATTTCTTAAAAATTGTGTTAATCAAAAGAGTCAAATGTGTTATCATTTTTTTGTGCCTTTGTTATCATTTTTTGTGATTTTTGTTGCTGAACTTCATGGTATAGAACTCTGCACCTAGACCTGACGGAAAAATGGTAGGAGCTCAAGCAGTTGCATTGAGGATTTCTGGTGACAAAGCAACATTTTATAATTGCAAGTTTTATGGCTTCCAAGACACAGTGTGTGATGATAGGAATAAACATTTTTTCAAAGACTGCGTAATTCATGGCACTATGGATTATATTTTTGGAAGTGGGAAGTCACTATATTTGGTACATAAAATTTTATAAACTACAACATTTGTATGTTTGAATCCATTTGTAATACACTAAATATAATTGTAATAAGTATTGGGATTTTATTTTAAAATGCAGAAGAATGAGTTGAGAACACTTGGCGAGGATAAGGTTACAGTTATAGTGGCACAAGCAAGAAAAAGTGAGACAGAGGACAATGCTTACATATTTGTACATTGTGACGTTACTGGAACTGGGAATGAAACTTTCTTAGGGAGAGCATGGATGACTCATCCAAAAGTGGTCTTTGCTTACTCAACCATGAGTAACGTTGTAAAAAAAGAAGGATGGAGTAACAATAATAACCCTGCAGCTGACAAGTAACTTTCTAATTTAACTTTAGATGACTAATGGTTCTTTCACATCCCTACATTTATAATTATATGCTAAAAACGTAGTTGTATTAATGACAAATGAATGTGTATAATTATGTTGAAGTGTGCATATTTCTTTCCAAACTTTTATTCTATAAACTTTAAAGTACATGTTTTTTTGCATATTGATCAAAATAATACATTGTTATCTACAGAACTGTACGATTTGGAGAGTATAAGAACACAGGACCTGGTGCAGATCCCAAAGGTCGTTCTCCTTTAGCTCATCAACTAACTGATGAGGAGGTCAAACCTTACATAACTCTTGGTGTGATTGAAGGATCCAAATGGCTACTTCCTCCTCCAACTCCCAAAATATGATTAAGTACTGTATGTTTATATATGGCTTAAGGAATGGCCATGTGCCCCACATTTTTGTGGATGGTGAATTTGGAAAATTGTATTCTAGTTAAGCATTAAATTGCTCAAGTTATTTAATTTTGTTGACTTATAAATTTTTTCTTTCAAATTGGACATTTTAAAATTAAGTGAGGTCCTTGTAAAAACTTAGATTAGTTGATATATAAGTCATGTATTTAGGTGTTGATGCACACCATCATAACACCCTTGTCAAAAATAAATAAAAGATCAATATGATTATTATAACTTCAACCTTTTACAAAGACATGAAACAATCAATTTATGGTCTTGTAAATACATATTATTGGGAAATGTAATTTTTTGTTTCATTTCCAATGAAATAGAAAGGTAACTTTGTTGAAATACCTTAAATTATTGAAATTGATATGAATAACTTTGCTGACATGTATCATATGTTTAAAATGTAAAAAAAATTATATACTATAGGTCAATTTAGCTAAAATATAAATAAAATATGAGATAAAATACTTGCTTTATTACAAGCAATTATTACATTTGTTTTTTTGGTCTTTCTACATTAATTCAATTGTCAAAATAGATTCAACAATTGAGGAAAGTGAGACTTTTCTATATCTATTAATATTTTAACCATTATAAAAATTGACTACTTTTTACATGAGTTAGTGTCATAAAAAATGTAGAAAGTAATATTTTTTTAATATATCATTTATTTTATTTAAATCCCAACACGTAAATTTCAAATTACAAATAAAAAAATCAATCACTCATATTTATTTATATATAAATTCCAAATATGATCAATAAATAGTAATGAATATATTAACACATAATTATATGGTAATGTCCCTCCTTAAAAATTCTAAACTACAAACAATTGTGAAGTACCTAAATCCATTGCAAACATATATAAATTTGATCTACAACTAATATCAGTACTAAACATATGCTAATTAAACTACCTAAAAATAATTCTAAGATGTCAAAAAGAACTTATGATTAATTTCTAATTTGTAAATAGACCTTGATTGACAATCACTACGAATTGCATATTCATGAAATGCTCATTCTCTCAAGATCAAGAAAAGTCATCTTGTTAATATATACTCAAGTTAGATTGAGTGAATCATCTCTGTTGAACAATCGTTATAACTCTTTGTAACATTAGTGATAATGAGTGTTAAGTGAAATCAAGTGTTTGATAACTTCCATACCCTCATCCTAGTGAGTTAAAAACTTGTAACCCTTCAACCTTTGTGTGATGATAAGCCTAGGGAGTAGTGGTAGGCCTTGGAACTTGAGTTAGTAGGACAATTTATCTAAAAGTTTTTTTAAAAAACTAATTATTATATAATAGACATAAATATTACATGAAAATAAGGAAAACACATTATATAGGAATGAAAATTGAGTTGAAAAGAGACCAAAATATAGGAAAGAAATTAGCCAATAAAAGAAAAAATAAAAGTAGTTGAGAAATTAGGATAGTGGTGGTGGTAACAACAAAGGTAATGATTATGGTGAAATAATTTTGGTCAAAAAATCAATTCATAATTAAATAGGATTACGTTAGAACCCTTATGTTAGGTTTATAACTTGTATCTAAGTAGATTGAAGTGGGAAAATGAAAGAAAGGTATGGGTTCTGTTTCACGGGATTAAGGATGCTACTATACGTGAGCACAATGTGCTTAGGTGAGCATAATCTTGATGTCGTTAAACATGGTCATGCTTAGGTTACCTACAATCGTGCTTGGATTCAAGATAGAGAGTTGAAAAACCAAGCTTGGTCGTGCTCACCTTTGCATTGCCTAGCACGACCATGTTGGTCCACTGTACAACCTTTTTTTTATCTACGTTTGTAACAGGCGTAAATATTGAGAAACAAGAAGGTGAGCTTGAGCTACTAAGATAATGGGATAATTAACTATTAATTAATTGAGAAACTTAATAATAAACTTTGTACATGTTAAGTCTAAGAGCACTACAAGAAAATTGGGTATTATCTACGAAAAAATTTTCGTAGATAATTTTTGTTTAT